GTAGACTTCTTTAATACCTTTAAGAGATTTAGTATTATTACCACCACCACTAACTTTGCTAATAATGCTCAAACGTCTTTAATTATATTTTAAAGAGTAGGCTGCCCAAGAGGGTACTTGTTGAGTAATATTAGGCCCTCCAGCCTCAAAGGCAAAGTAAAGGTCTTGTTGCCTCCACAACGCTGTGTCTGTGAAATATTTTATTTTTCCAAATAAAGTTAAATGATAGCCATTCAGTTAGAACAGCCTATGTCAAAATTCAGAACTGCAACTAATTTTATGCCAGAATTTCTACTACTTCCAACACTTCATTTGGTATTAACTCATACAGAACCATCAACATTTCCTTCTTATTTTGTCATTTTAATAAAGGTAGAAATATCATTGCCATTTTATTATACTCCATTAAATGTCATGTCTTCTTTAGTCTGCTGGAAGCAATTTTTTTCTTAGCCATGGTTTAAAAAAAATGATCTCTTGTTGATTTAATGTTTAACCTGAATAGATGGCTTTATAGCTGTAACATGGTTTTTGATATCAGAATAAATGAAGATAAGACTTGGCAAAATTGTCTCTAAATAAAGTGAACATGGTTGTATGTGCAAAGACAGTGCACAACATAGCAGTGGTACAAACAGATGGAAACCAAAAATGATGAGAGGTTTAGAATTTAATTTTGCTTCAGAATAATAATTGATAATGTGGTGTTTGTGTTGCTCATCTGGTCTTACTTTTACAGTCATTTGAAATTGTATACAAACAGGCATTTTACTCAAAACCGTGCAGTGAGGCTTCGCAGAGACAACAGTTTTGGACTCCAGTTTGAAAAGTCAAAGTTTCTTGGAGGATGAAATGGAAAGAAAAATAATTTCTTCAATTTATTGCCAGTAAATTCCCAAGAGGTCACTTAATGAAGGTAAACAAGGATTTCCAACATTTTGTGTCTTTTAGTTTTTGTACTGAAAATTTTTTGGCAGTCAAGATCAACTAAGGGATCACCTTTCATCTCTGGAATGGAACCAGAACTGCAAAAACTGGTGCAATAGTGGGGGAAATCATCTTTTCACACATAATGGTCAGGCAAACTCATTTGCCAAAACATATCAGGAACAAAAACATCTGCTTTAAATGGAACAAAAAATTGGAGAAATCTTAGTTTCCAGTGAAGATAAAATGGGTGCAAATTTTGCTTTATTAAAAACAATGGAATGTTGGTTTTGAGGAGTAAGTTGAGTTGCAGGGACTGCTGAACTGTAATTGTACATACATTGCTGGAAATATTGTAATGAAGCTTTAAAATATTTTTCCTTATATTAAAAAAATTTACACAAGCCCATCTTTTTTAGTGTGTCATTAATATATGAATTTTTATTCCTGACTTGAGGACATTATTAGAATTACCAGACTATATAGGTCTATATGTCAAGAAACACACAACCAAAAGGAATAGAAGTTTAATTATAGGTAACTAAGCTGTCCAGAGTTACCCTATATTATTTTAAAATAAATAAATAAATATGATTTCCTAATAAACAGGTATTTCTAATACATTCTAACCCTGGTGGCGCAGTGATTAGAACATAGTACTGTAGGCAAACTCTGCTCACAGTCTGGAGTTTGACAGGGCTCAAGGTTGATTCAGCCTTCCATCTTTCTGATGTTGGTAAAATGAGAACCCAGATAGTTGGAGGCAATATGCTGACATTGTAAACTGCCCAGAGAGTGCTGTAAAGCACTATGGAGTGGTATGTAAGTCTAACTGCTATTGCTATTTCTCACACTGATTATGAGAATGACATGGGACTTGAAAAAAAATCATTATGCTCAATTCAGTTCAGTCCTCTACTGCCAGTCAGGAAAAATATACTTTAGATTATTTTACTTGGAATTGGAAAACAATAGTTTTATTGATAATATTGAGCTTTTTCAGTAATAATCATATTGCTATTGCAAAGAGATGTCTTGTTCTTGAGAGACTGTAGGAGAATTTCTCCTTCCTTGGTATAAATTCAGAAAAAATATCCATACTATTTTTTTCATCTAGAATTTTGATGAAAGAATTCAAAGGGCTGGTTTTGCCCAGCTATGTATCTAAAAATAAATATAGAGCTATAAGTACAGGGGAAAAAATTGAGATCCTTTTCAGGAATAACTCCTGTTAATCACTTTGGCAATAATCAGTTATGTGGATTAATTGACGACTTTGATACAAGGCAGTTTTCCAACTTGTAATACTAACCATAAACTCATTCAGGGGTCAAGATCAAGCTTTTATGACAACTGCATAATTTTAAGGACTTTAAATTTCAGGGTGGGTATTAGTGCTATAATGTGATGATGATGATTGTGTAAAAATCTGTTTAGAATCTTCAGATGGGGAAAAAAACTTTTACCACTATATTATTTGGATATTATTGTTTTTCCAGATATTCAACAATGTTAAGAAGCATTTGGGGGCTGTTTTTTTTTAAATAAATGTGAATTACATAAAAAAAATAATAAATGGGAGAACTTCTAAGCTACCTTCATTTTTGACTGATTCAACATGCCGTTATATCATATTCCCACCTATGCTCATAAAGAAACATTATAGGTGGCTGACAAGTTTGTCAACATGATTCATTTCTAATACTTTAAAATCAGCCTCCAGGAATGGATATGCATGTTCAGAAGACATTATATTATAAGTGAGGTACTATGCATTTTTCATTATATCGCTTTTTACTTCAATAATATATTTGATCTTGTTTCATGCTTCTGTTGTCAGTAATAGTATCTATCAACCCTTCAGCCTATTTTTCAACTGGAGTCAGTTTTTTCCAAGTATCAGGATCGTCTTTAGTGATTTTTGGCTTTACATCATGCATCTATAACATCATCTTCTCTTGAGAATTCTATAATACTGGATAAGGTGGAAGGAAAGAGAGGATGACCAACAGCAAAGTGGATGGACTTCATTACAGTGATGCTGGATACACCACTGGAAGCTTGAAGTGTCAGATAGGCAGATCATCCTGGAGAATGTTTATCTGCATAGTGGGTAAGAGTGAACGCCAACTCGATGGGATGCAATAACTTAATCAATTAAAAACTTCTATTTGCTTATATGTGTTAAATTGGAGTAGCAAAATGAAGAGTCCTGTTTGCTAAAGTTTACATGGCTTTATTCCTGACTTCCTGAAATCTTTTACAGAAAGTAAAAGCATTTGTTTAAATAAGCATTTCAATGGATTAAATATTAATTTCTATTTCTCTCTCTTTTTTTTCCTGGACATTCTGGCCAAACATCCTTTTTTGATACTGTCTTCAACATGTCTCCCAAAGAAAAGTGTATTCCTTACTCAAAAGAAAGGTAGACAAGGAAAGTAGACAAGGAGATACCTAGATATATAAGAAGGATGATAAGCTTATTATCTGAATATACCATTTCCCTTGTCATGGAGAAAAAAATACTTTTAAAAATCCATGAGGAAAATTGAATATTGGGCATGTGATATATTTTAAGAGAGAATTTATAGAAGTGAACAAAGTCAATAGCCTTTAAAACAATTTTGAAATCTAAGCAACAGTGGGATGACTGTAACATTGCATTTCAATCCTCAACACTATGGCAAACATTTTAATATGACCTTGCTGTAATCCATATAAAATGCTTACCTGTACCTGAGGACTTCCACTCCTCAACTATATTCATTAATAGAGAAAAGGGGAAAACTTTTTTTTTAATTCTCATAATACTGCATGGAGAACAGATCTGATAACTCAGAAATTAACAATGCCTTACATAGAACTTGCCATTGAAATTTCCCTGTGGGAAATGTTACTGGAATCTGGCAAATAACTGATGGGTGGACTTGGAATTCTAATATATAAATAAAAATAATACAAGCATACAGCTACTATATCTGGGCTGCAAACATCTGTTTAACCTCAGACAGCAGCAAAGAGTTAGAACTTTCGTTGTGTGCTTGTAGATAGAACAGTAAGTATGAACAGCTAGAAGTATACGAGGTAATTTTATAATGGTTTTGATTCTGAGACAAAGCCTGATTCAAAATGGGGGGAATCTAATCCTGGTTTGGATGCCATGATGATTTCATGGATTCCCCCATCAAGTGTTCATCAATGGTTCCTTAATAAGCTATAGGCAAGTGTTGAAGAGAGGCTATTGTCAAACTAAAGGCAAGTGTTGAGTAGAAGCCACAAGGCTAAGGTCTAGACCCAACAATTTTCAGCATTTTTACTAATCAGCTGGAGGATGAGGTGGAGGAAATGCTGATCAAATTTGCAAATGAGACAAAATTGGATGACTAGGTAATATCTTAGAAAACAATCCCGGTTATACTTTCTGTAGAGTCCACCCAAAATTATTTTATGGCACTATATCACATGAGAAAATAGAATTTAAATTTAATTTAAATTGCTGTCAGTTGAAAAAAGACACCACAGGACCCCACCGAAAGCAAACTGAAAAGTTCTGGATTGTTAAGATTTTGGGAGAAAAAATGGGAGCATGGCTGGACACAAGCAACAAATTCAACGCTTACATGACATTTGATATGTTGACATTGGAGAAAGGTTGAGATGAGCTTTGCCAGACAACTGTAGCTGGATGAAGAACAGAAGATATTTTTGCCAAGATGAAATTGAACAAAACTCACTAGAGACAAAATCAAGCTGAATTTTAAGAAAATTTTTGGAAAACAATTTTTAATGGGAATTGTGTGACACTCAAGTCAGAATGGTCCAGAATTTGAGGACCTGAAAGAAAGTCATGATGGGAATGCTGCTGGAAATTGGGTTCCCTAATCCCATAAACAAAGTTATTGCATAACTGTGCTATTAAATTAGTATCTGTTTAAAAGAGCAAAATAATATTGCATTATAGTTTACTTAAAGTGAATAAGTAGCTAATATGTTGGGTGCTGTACAAATGAAAATACATACACAAAAGCCTGCGCCAATAGCTTACAATCTTACCACTCTCCCTTCCTCTCCAGTTAAGCTAAAGACTGTAAAACTTTGCATTGATTTGTAAAGATTAGAGATTAATTGATTGCTTAAAGAAGTAATTTGTTCACATATTATTTAAGAAATTATTTTATTTTATTTATTTGTATCCTGCCTTTATTATTTCTACAAATAATGCAAGGTCGAGAACATATTCATCATACTTTCCTCCTCTAGATTGTGAGGTGAGTTGGGCTGAGGGAGAGAGTGGTTTGCCCAAGAATACCCAGCTGGCTTTCATAGGTAAGGTGGTACTAGAATTCATAGTCTCCTGCTTTCTAGTCTGATACCTTAACTACTAGACCAAACTGGTGTAGACCAAGTTACTAATTCTGTAACTTGATAATGCTCAGGACAGCATATGATAAATTAACTGCCCAGGGATTAGAGTACTATATATTTTTACTATTTAATAAGGCTGCTGTATCATATAAGTGTTTATAAGATCACAACAGCCTGCATCAAGCTCATATCTTCTAGACATATTGGAACTGACCTGCCATAGTTTTCCAATCTCTAATCATATTTGAAGATTATGGAAGTTGTATTTCAGCACATTTGAAAGGCATATTTGATGACAGTTTTATATTTTCAGGAATACTGATAAGTACAGCATAACCAGTTATAGCAGAGATCAGCAACCTACTTTTGCCTAAACTCATATAAGATTTATAAAATTAATAAATTATAAATAAATTAAATCTTACAAATCTTATAAAATTTATATCTTATAAATTTACCACAACATTTGTGAAGATTTTGATAATTTCACTTAAACTTGTTCTAGATCATTGAAATTGCATGAGATTTTAAATTTTGCATGTTTCAGCCTCTCAGTGGTTAAAAATTAAATTGCAGACATAATTTGAAGCTAGAGTGTCCTATAATCAAGAATATCTTGTTGCTAATTTCTGGATTATGGTATTTTCCCATTATTTCCATTATTTAGGCCATTTTATAACCATAATAACTAGCTGCTTGATCATTGACATAACATAACACCTGATTTTGCTAATATCAGATCAAAACATAGTTGAATCTAGAAGGGCAATCAGAAATAGATTTGGATTTGTATTAATGATACAAATTGAAAGATAATGTAGATTCTTCCAGAGAGCTTCATAACTAAACAGAATGTGCACGTATTATTATATTACTGATTTTTACAGTGTATTTTAATCATGTACGTATTTATATCACATATAAAATTGTGATTGAATTTTATTGAATTTTTATTCTTTCGTATTTTTGAATAAAAAAAGAATACAAATTTCATATATCTATATGTACATGATTTTTTAGTAAATTACTGCAATGTCAAATAGTATTTTGTACTTTTGTAGTACTGTGAAATATGCTTTCATAACTGCAAGATACCAATGGCCCCCTCATGTTCAGGTCCTGATTTGTTTATATATTCAACATACTAATGAAAAGCTGAGATGATTGGAATGTGAGACTACAAGGCCATAGTTAATTACAGGATATTTTCCCAGTTGGCCTCTTTCCATAGGTGTTGAACTACAGTCCAAAATTCTGGGGGAAATACACCCAATAAAATAGTATTCTTATGAAAATTTTCTATGTTTTACTTCAGGGACTGATGATCCACATCATGTAACAAATCTTAGAAAATGGAATATCCATTTGTATCACTCATATTTAAAAAGAGAGGTATCATTTTAAAGGACATGACCTTTTGTCTTCCTGCTGTGCTGTATAGCAAAATTTATACTATGAGGTCCTGGTATCTTTTTCCTTTCATCCTGATGAATTGAGAAATTCTGCACCTGGCATCCAGGGTGCCCTGAGGAAATGGCTTAATTAATCTGCAGGAAAGATAGAATTTTGGCTACTTTTATACAATCAGAATTATTCTTTCCATGGTGTAACATGCTATTTTGGATATTCAACATTGCTGATGTATTAAAGAAGTCTTCATGTTATACTTCTATATTTTCCGAGAATCAAAAAAAGTGTTATAATTTACCATCATTTTAATCCTACCGATTTGTATCATGAGGTGGGTGTTCCTGAACTGTAAGCTTTCAGTTCAAATCATAGTTTTTCATTACCAAACTCTATTTTTGACATTAATTTAAGGTTGAATTAATAGTATGCATATCAGGCACACAACCCTTGGTCTGCAAAGTGAACAACAATAAACTAATTGGAAGAAAAACTAAGTGGTTTTTTTTTCTAAGCAGAAGACATATTTGTATATGATAATGCAGCTTTTATACTGAAATGCAATTGTCACCATGCAAACATTTGGAAAACCACTGGACAGCAGCAAAGAGCTGCATAAACTTTGAATTCCATCTGATGCCATCTAGGGCAGGGGTCCCCAACCCTGGTCCATGGACCAGCACCAGTTCGTGGCATGCCAGAAACCAGTCTGTGCAAACAACGAAACCCCATCCACAGGATGCAGACAATACACAAAACCACACCCTCTCTGGTCCACAGAAAAAATTCTTTTCCCAGAACCAGTCCCTGGTGCCCAAAAGGTTGAGGGCCGTTGATCTAGGGGACAATTGGAGGTTTGAGTCTATATCATAGCTCTAAAGAAAGAGAAAGATAGTTTCCTTCACATGAAGTGATTTGATTTTTCTAGAGCTCGCATTTCATTATATGAATATATCTTAACCTGATGAATGATCCTGGAATGATATGCAATTGTGCAGGAACTTTGTTCAGTGGCATGATTGCAGAGCACATTATGCAAGATTTAATACATAAATATTTTGTAATCTTCCAAGACTCTGGAAAGGAGATTGTTGAATCTGGCCCATCATCATGTCTAAATACTAAACTGAAAGTCTGTTTATTTTATTTAGTCTTCAAAATTGAGGTTGCTTTCCATTGATTTTGCATAGTGCCTCCGGGTTCTCTATAGACACAGATTTTGTTAGCTTGTTGAGTGATTCAGGAAGAGAAAAGGTAATCTATCAATTGAAGCATGACATAGTTGCTTAGCAGTCTACCCAAACATTTGACCACATATGACTTACATTCCCATCATTGGCAAAGTAAAATGTGACTTAAAATCTGATACTGCTGAAGAAGTTAGGATTGCCATATCTGGGCTCAGAAATCCAGATGACCCTTGGAGCATAGCAAAAGATTTGAGGTTTTGGTATCTTCGCTGCCATCTACTTCTCACCTGGTTTTTGCAATTCAGCTCAGATTTGAGTAAGAAAGGCAGTTAAAAACAAACAAGCCAACAAACTGTACTGTATAAATTTGGGTCACAGAAAAAAGTGAGCTTGTTATCAAAGATATTGGCAGAGGTTACTGTATATATTATCTATCAAGGTGTTGCAAAGAAAAAACTTAAACCTTGAGTTTTAACCTCTTAAATTGAATTTTATTGCACTACTTTCAGATTCACTTTCTGGATTCACAAAGTATAATTTCAGATATACTGTATATCTTATGGGAAACCTTTGAAAAGGATGCTCATTTCCAAGCATTGTTTGAGTCAATGACCTTCTAACCTTAAAAACACTTGTGAAATCTTCTCTCCAGTCAGTAATACCAACTCTGTTATAGAACTGATTATCTGGGAGGGAACCTCTTCCAGACCAATGTGTACAGAATAAACAGATCCTTGAGAGTATTGGCAATCCCAGATAATCAAAGAAAACAGGGCTGTTAGCATTGCAAGTTGGGCAGCCATAGATATAATATGTGTGTGTATGTGTGTGTGTGCATCTGTGTTTAAGAAAAAGGACTTAAAAGGCAAAGAATCTCATAAAATGTGCCTATGCTAATTTGTATGTATCCTAAACTAGCTTAGATGAGAACCCATAGTTTTAGAACCACATAAAGTATGCATTATTCCATACAGCTCTGCTCATTTCCCCCTGCTGTACCAGGGATTTCAACACCTTACTGTAAATGTTCAAAGTGACTATCTTGTTGTCCAATTCACTTTGTTCTTCATTTTCTCTTAGTATGGTTTTTTCTTTTCTTTTCTTTTCTTTTCTTTCCAAAAAGGCAACTCTATCAATATTCTTCTGGCAGACTTTAGCATCCAGGATTGGACAGGTGAATGGGTGGTGAGCAGTAATAATATTGACAGGTGATCATTCTATGTTATTGCTCAGGAAGATGCCTGAGATTGTTTTATGTTTTAGGTAATAAAAGCTAAGCATGGTCCAAGCAGATTCATATCTTGATTAGAGTCTTCTAGAGGATTCCAGGTCTGCAGGTTAGACTAAATTTAAAAAATTATCCTGGAAGATTTCTACCAAGAAATCTACAAAATCTACAAAAATTGTCCATGTAGTCACCAAGAGACAACTTGGTTCCCAAGAACTTAACCTTTTATGGTATCAGCCGCTCCACAGACTTACTTTGGTCGTCATCAACATTTCCCCCAAAATTACTGCACTTGACTGAAAACGAAATATGAACTTGTGTCTTCAACTGAGATGTTTTTGTGTCCATTGTCAGTTCTACCCAGTTTCTGGCTCATTTATTATGTTTCATGTGTAATATTTAGAACTCCCTTTCTATTTCAAGACCAAACCATTCAGCTCAGAAATTTTTAAAAAGATCTCACATATATTCAAAAAGTTAACAGACAGCAGCAAAAACATACTGGCTGGATATTTACAAATTGTGAAGATCAGACATTTAAGATAAAAGCAAAATCCTCACATCTTTAAATAATAATATATGACTGGTACGAGCAATGAAATACTACTAGAGAAGAACCATTTGAACCTTTGCTTCCAGGTCTTTGCATCCTGAAATCATGGATGCTTGAATAATGAAGATTTTCAAGCAAACATTGGAATCTTGACTTGAGCAAGAGATAATTTAGAACAGTGTTCTCAATCTGGGGCCCACCATGATGTCATCATAGTGTTTCCACAAAGGCTTGAAGAAATGTTATGATTTAAATCTGGACTTAAGCCTTGGTGGTCCGTGGCCATGGTCAGTGGCCACAAAAGGTATTTAAAGGGGTCCATGGTGAAGAAAAGATTGAGAACCACTGATCTAGAAGAATTTCAACTTCTGCCATAAGCACACAAACAATAAAACTTTTATTGGAAGATTTGCTGTGAGTCACTGCATTATAATGTTTGTGCATTCAATGCATCATTGCATTCAACAAGCACATATTAAGAAAGTAAGTCTCATTGAGGACCATATTTAACACTCCATTAGGAAT